ACTATCGTGCAAATTGCTATAGCTCGCAAGGGCACGACACGGGATCCCTTAATTGGAACGCGAAATCGAAGCATCCGTCGGGACCATCTGTTTCACGGTTATATACCAGCGTCTATGCATATGTATGATCAGGCGGCCGTGATTATGTGGATTTGAAATACAATTGAGCAAGTTATGACAGCACGTGCTGTTGAGGACAAGGTGGTAGACGACGGTGGCCCGAGCCACGGCAATTAGGACGTGAAGCTGCATAACACACCGGGAGTAATTCGTACGCGCTAAATCATGCGATAGCGTGGCTCATTTTCAACCACCCACGCCGTGCCTACGTCATTTTCGCGACGATAGCGCGTTGAAAATCGATGACGACGACGATCGATTATCGGAAATGCGACTGAAAAGAGCACGGGAACTTGATCGAACATGGAACATGCTAGCGGCAGAAAAAGCACCGGCTGCACGTTCAACTTCGACTTTTTCAGCTACAGAGCTATTATTACCGTAGTCATTAACCATGTGCTTTTTATACGGGTCACGTGGAGATCGCGGCAATGGTAGTTCAATGCATTCGTAATGACACGGCTGTCGACGTGAATTCCTCGTATTATAATACTTGGAATTCTACATTCCCTGGCGAGAAATATTTCTTGAAATTTCCAAAACGACATCTTTCATCCGAAACGAACGAATAAAGTTAACTCCTGCCGCGATCCTCTGATTTTTATATTCACGAACGAGGAGGAGATCTATTGATATTTTCACGAAAATAAATTTCGTCGATCTTATCGTACTTTGTGTGTGACCTTTCAATTTTTGAGAGATGTGAAAGTGTCTTTCTTACCCAAAGTTACGAAATATAATAACAAATACTTTTTTGCCCGTTAAATTTGAAACAGTTACGACGTCATTTGCGGAAATTAATAGAAAAACGAATAGAAGAATTTTGCCAATTGTCTGTTAATCTCGTAACCTGTTCATCGATAGCTTCATCAATCAAGATAACACGATTCCCGATACCTATGCAAGGATATTTAGCTCGATTCAATCTGTATTCCCAACCGGATCGAAGCGTCATATTGCATCGACCTGTTAACCAACATTGGCCGGAGTGCTTTAATTAGAAACACACGCGCAGAGCATCGTCATGGAATTGGCCAACTGTCTGAAGTCATTTGCAAACAGAGATTATCAAGAGCACGTGCACGCCGTTGTATCAATCAGTTCCGTCTCATTAAGAAACTGGTAGACAGATCACTGTGAAACATCACACACTGTGTACGGCTCGTTCACCATTCAGACTCACTTGGCGTTAATTTGCAGTCGGTGTGGGCGTTTCGATTTGTTCAGAGTGTATGAATTAACGAGTTGGAAGTTTCTTCCCTTGCCGAGTGGTGTCAAATCGTCCTGTGATTTGCAATTTATTTTAATTGAATTGCGGTCTCAGTTTGAAAGAAAGAAAAAGAAAAAGAAAGAAAATTGAAAGAGTACAACGTTTATTATATTATTATTATATTGTTATTGACAATATTATTATGTTATTATTATTATATTATTAAATTATTATATTATTATATTATTATTATATTATTAAATTATTATTATACTATTATTGAAAATATTATTATATTATTATTAAATTGACTATATTACATTATTACTATATTGACTATAGTATTATTATTATTATATTACTATTATATTGACAATTATATATAATATCAATCAACGCTTGTCTAAGAAGTTTAGAAAGAAGATCATAATTAAATAAATTAAATAATCCGAAGATCTAGAATGCCATAGTTTTCATCATTGTAAATTTATGGATCTTGGTTTTATTATTGCAATTCGATTCATTTTCCAATCGATCTTTTAAATCTTGCACACTGTAATAAAAAGTAAGCAACTGTCCAATGATTTTCGACGATGGCGGTGTATAAATATCCCGCAGCAACCATGCTACATTGCCCGACAACCCGGACAACCGAAGATAAACCGACAAAAGAACTATCGGAACGGTTTTGCATCGGGTATCCGTCGCTTTTTCTTTTTTTTTCTTTTTTTTTTTTTTTTGACGGTAACACCGTTATCCGTGGTAAAAACCGCCAGATCTTTTTTCTCCTTTTCTGTCGAGAGACCCGTATGTACGTCAGTATCTCGTCGGAAGAATGGCGAAACGCGAACAATGCAGAGAGTTCCCGAATTTTTTTTGTCCCCGCGATGGAAAATTTCTTTCGTACTCCCATCCCTCGATCATTCTAACGCAACTCTTGGAAAATGCTTGGAAGCACTGAAGCTCCTGTTCTCAAAAAAAAAAAAAAAAAAAAAAAAAANAAAGAAAGGAAAAAAAATGCAGAAGATTTCGTTGCAGAGCGTACAGATCTTGAGAGAGTTTTTAAAGATTACGAAGCGCATCATAGATTATTATAATATTTGAACTCACTCGGTGTGCCTTAATTCCGAAGTTAATAATAAAATTTATTTTAAACCACGTTGGTTTTATTTTTTTTTTTTTTTCTTCATCCCAAGGAATCTGTCGCCGAAAGAAACTCTAATTAACATGACGTGGAGGGTGTATCCCCCCGGAGAGGGAGAATCGAGTCAATAAGCCCCTGCAAGTAGATTACATCACGTCACGTTTATCTTCCAATGAGCAACGACAGACAAAATCGGCTCTCCCTCGTCGTTCTTTCTCGTCGCCGCGGTATCTTCTCATTCCGCCCAGTTTATCCGGCCGGCGGACCTTCTGTCTATTGCCGGAGGCGAGCCGAAATGAGCTTCATTTCGCAGGATCCAATCGTACGAATCGTGCACTCCGGTTCCATCGATAAAACGTACCCAATCGTTCCAATAGGTATTTAGCCAAGAACGTACCATATCGAGGCAGCACGCGTGTTCTCGATCTCTCGGCAGTGAATCGACGACAGCGTCCACGTCTTTGTTGGATACGACGGGCGAGGTCTTCCTCGTACGTGTGCATCACGTTGCGTGAGCATGTAGTGAACTAAGTACGAAGGGATCCTAGTAAATACGGGATTGGCAGGAATTTATTTGATGGCGCCGGGGATGACTACGCTCCGAGAAGCATGCAAATAGACGGCGAGATTGCGAGAGGAGGCGGCTGCGTTGTTAAATTAATGAATCAGCTTTGCTCGAGTCTCGGTGATCCATTGTTAGATAGGGAAAATGGTGGCTACGCGGAGGATGATTTTACGGGTGGTCTGGGAGGAACAACGGTGACATATCAGACAATAATTGCAACACTCGGAGTGATCGTGTCTGCTTACGAAAGTAGAACGAATCAGATCTAAATTTTGAAAGAAGGAGAACGAGACATTACACCACTCCAATCAAATTAATTTGATTTACTTCAGATCCAGCGAATTGGATGAATTTTGAAACGTTCGAAATATCGAGGATATATAAACTTCGTCCATCATATTTTATTTTTTTTTTTTTTTTATTTATTTATTTATTTTTTTTAATGAAACTCTGTCGAAAGAAATCAAATCGGCGGGACTGATAAAAATGCAAAATAACGTAGGACAAAGCGTCATACAATCTGGACACAGTGCCAATCAATCAAAGATGCAAATAGCTAAAATCTGTTGCCACACCCGCGCGTGCAAGAAATTTAATGGCAGTATTCCAAATCTAATCGGCGACCAATGGTCGAGTGGTGCCCAGAATCTGTTGCGACGATGCAGATTTAATGGCAAGGGACCCGGTAATGCGGCTTCGTTACGAAATTTCGAAAACGATCAACATTTGACCAAACATTCCCGTGATTAACAATTCTGGCAACGATTGTAACAGGGTAGAATCCGGAGGGTTCAATTAATTAAAATTCCACGAAAGTAGATTTGAATAAATATCACGACGACATCCTGCCAGTCCAATAAGTAGAATCTGATCTCAATGACTTTTTACTTGTTACTGTAACGCGGATGTTTCGAGAAATTCATAGTTCATGTAACGAATTTAATTTCCAGTTTCTATAATGTCATTTTTATGTTTTGGGTTTAATCTCGAGTTTCTGTAGTGTAAATATTTTCTGCTCAATTTTCAAACATCGATCTTTCAACATCGTTTCGATATTTAATTTAGTTTCAATTTTATAAAAAGAAATCGCAGATACTTAATAATAAAACTTGGACTTACTTGAAAGCTTGAAGCCTCTACTTTCAATATATCGTTCACCTCGTCTTAAAATGTTTTTTGCATTATGTGACAGATGGCAAAGCGAAGAAAGTGCATGTAAGAGTATTAAAAAATTTCTTTTATGATTGAATTCGCGATGAAGCCTCCTCTTGCAACTTTTCCCGCCAATTTATTAAATTTTGAACATCACGAACATGAATTGTCGATGAAAATTTGTTGGTACATTTCTTGAATTTTCGTCATCTGAGTCCAATATTCAAAGTTCAATAAAATAGCGAAAAAAAAGTCATACGTCAAGTTTTCGAAGATCGTTGTAAAAGAGAGGCTTCAATCCTCAAATCGAGAGTAGATTCAGTCGCGAAGAAAATTTCTCAACGATCCTACATACTATGGCAACTGATAATATTTTCGAGAAGAACTCACTTCAGTTACACAATGTAAAAACCAGTTTCGAAAGTAGAGGCTTCACGATTTAAAATAAGCCCAAATTTATTACTTTAGTATTGTTACTTTTTTACAAAATTATAATATTTACGGCAACTATAATAATATATATATATAAAACAATATTAATTTATATTTAATTTAAATTATTATAATTCTAAAATCACAATTATTCAGTGTCTGATAAATATAAATATTAGTTGCGGCGAGATATCATGTGAATAGCGAAGAAATAAATAATTAAAAAAACTCAAAGCCTCTATCTGTTATTTTCTTTTCAATTTACGTTCTCTTCTCATGTGCACATAGTAAAAAAAAGAAAAAAATGATATCAATAAAATAATAATAATAACAAATATAAACAAAATACAATAATAGAAAAATAAATCTACTTTCAGGATCGGGACATGTTCGCGAGGGAAGGCAGGTGATGCGGCGGAACAACGGTTGGCTGGCCGTCCTGGCCGTCTCGCTGGTGCTGTCGATCCTACGGAATAGTTTAGCTGGCGAACGTTATCCCCTCGACTATGAAAACGCCGTCGAGCTGTCGGTTAACCGCAGCAGAATCATTTACGAAACTTACAACCCGAACGAACTTACATCACCGAGCTCGCGTAGCCGCTCAAACCCCCCGACATCGGGCCCAATCGCCAAGTCAACATCATCGTCATTCGCTGCGCCACGATCGGCGCAATCACGTTTGCACGTCAGCGACAAAAATGTCGTCCCGTCGAAAGATCATTCCGCCAATCCAACCAACGTGATAACGAGGCTCGACAAACTGGCCAAGTTGGAGGACGAAGAACAGTCAAACAGCGGTCGATCGATCCTCCACGACGACGATCCTCGCCACGAATCTCGCGAATCTGGCGCGCACGTTGTCGAAGGATCGAGGAGCTTCAACTTGGGTATTCCGCGACAGTCGCGTTTATCCTCGTGGATCCACGTATCCAGGTGGATCAGCCGCGCGAAATCGGCTGCTAAACCGTCCAAAATCGGCGGACGTGAAAGGTCTGAAACGTTTGAGAAAGCGACACGACGAGGTGACGGGGAACGTTCGTATAACGGTCACGTCGATAACGATTCGCTGGCGATCCCTGCGCGAAGAATCGGAGACTACGAAAGAGAGGAACCACCTGCGAGAGACGTTTTTCAAACAGAGAGATCCTCCATCGAGGAGAGTGTCTTAAAAACCGCGCCGGATGGATCTCTCGATCTCAAGAGCGTCGATTCTTCCAGAAGTTCAAAGAAGATCGTTAAGAAACGGTTTTTGACTGGATACTCGGTGTTCTCCGTCTCCCTGAACAGGAGGTTCAACAAACTCGAGAGGCTGAACAAACCGGTCGTCGCGAGAAGATGGAAAGACAGACGTGATGGTAAAGAGAGGCGCGGACGATCTGTCGCTCTGTATTTGAAAGGGCAAACTGTGGATCGGGAAGGACGGCGTGACTCGTGGCCCACGTTCGATGATGGCGACTCGACGAAGGAACGGTCAACGACGACGAGACACGACGATGTCCAAGAAACCTTCGATTCGTCGAACGTTACCTTCCACGACGAAGAATCGAGCTTCGAACCGATCGAGGGATCGGATAACTTCACGGATCGCTCGACGAACAGTACCATGAGCGCAGATCGGACGAACGAAACGATTCTCGCTGGAACTGAAAATTACTCACAACCAAATGTATCAGAGACAAGCGTCTTGTCGATGTACGAAAATGATTCGGAAGCGAACGGCTCGGTTATCGACGATATCGAGTCAAACAGAGCCGCGGTGATTAATTCGCGATCAAACGCCAACGCTCCGAGTGGTCGGGACGGCGAATCTGCGTTAACGAGCACGGATACGAGCAACGATCTAATTGACGGAACGGAATTAGACGCGTCTGGAGAAGAAGGCGCGATTAAGGAGCGAGGGAACGCGGAAGAGGAAGAAAGGTCAGCGCTAACTAGCGTGACAAAGGAGGAGTCCGGGAGTTTGCTGGCTGCGGCTCGCAGGAATGCCACGTATCTAAGACGAAGCGGCATGAACAGTCTAGCCGTAGCTGGAGGCTTTATCCCGGACGAGAGCAGTGCCCTCTCGCGACATCGCGGAAGGAATGCTAACGATTCGTTTAGAAACTCGCCGAGAACGGGTCGCGGGGGCGAGGGTGGCAGGAACGTGGAGAATTTCGACGTGAATTCACTGGCTGAGCGATCGTCTGTAAATAACGAGGAGCAAGCAGGGTCGAGAGTCTCTCCGACAGCCCCAACGAGCGTATCTAAAAATGCCGTACTCGAGGAAGAAGTGGTGGTGGCTACGAGTAGCGGACGCGATGACGAATCGCTCGCGGAAAGTAACGAGATCAATGACGAGGCGACGCCGGTGCAAGACAGCCGAGAACCGATCGACCAGGTTGAAGCGACCAGTGCAAGAAGAAACGATCGAGGTACGCTTAATGTATCTCCGAGGATCGATCTCGAGGAACGGAGTTCGGGACCAACTCGGAGGCCGTTCAACCGAAACGTCGGCGAAATTAAGACTAATGAGTCGGACTTCTTCATGGAGTATTCGTTGGGAAAAAATGGCGAACCGTCGAGCGACTCGCCGAACGTCGAGAGTAGGAAAAACACGATGGTCAATCTCGAGGATCGACTAACGAACGATCGCGACTCGAAGGAACGAAGGTCCAGGTCGTCGAAAGCATCCACTCCAAGGATCGAGGAGACAGCGACGTCCGCGCCGAACAAAAGCCTCGTTTCGATCGATTTCGCGACGTCGAACGGTTCGTTTCAATTTCTCTCGAAAGATCCACTCATTCCATCGACTACGAAACAACCGGATGATCTTCTCGCTACGAGCGACGCGACACTTTCGTCGACCGATGACGACCAACTGGAAACCGTGTCCACGATTTCGTTGATCAGCGACGATGATCAACTGTTGGGCTTCGACGCGACGATCGTCGTCACGTCGTTGGGGCCCATCGACGACGAGGATCTTCACACGACTGCGAGCAACGTGTCTTTACGCGGGACAGACAATTCATCGCGCGAGATGGAACCGCCGGATCAATGGCCGGTTAAACACAGCGCGGTGGTTGAAGGTGATTTAGTGTTGGGTGGTTTGATGATGGTGCACGAGAGGGAGGACACCATCACCTGCGGTCCGGTGATGTCACAGGGCGGCATACAAGCGCTCGAGGCCATGCTGTACACCCTGGACAGACTGAACGATCTTGAAATTGTACCAGGTGTCAAGATCGGCGCCCATATTCTCGACGATTGTGACAAGGACACGTACGGGTTGGAAATGGCCGTGGATTTCATCAAAGGTACGTATACACACAATGTATATATACATACGTATGTACGTACATGTAGTTTATCGATTCGTCGGGTTGATGGCTGGTGATTAATCCACTCCGCACATATTCGGCACGATTATGAGTGATTCATCTATCAACAGCTTGTTGGAGTGTCAATTCGAACACGGCCAGTCTATTATCTCGCTGAGGTCGATCGTTTCGTTCCAGTGATTTGCGTATTTGTTGCATCCAGAGCGTTGCAACATGTGTCCGCGACACGATCGATTGCTTTTGTGGAAATTAGAAAAATTAAAGAACGAATATGACGCAAGTGTTGAGTTCAGAGGTTAGAAGAACTATTGCCGCGTGATTTATAGAAATTTATAGACATTATAATTTATTAGAGAAGTTGGAAGAAACTTTGAGTCTCGAATATGGCACAAGCATTGAGTTCAGAAATTAGAAGAATCACTGCCACGTGATTTATAGAAATTGTAATTTACTAGAGTCTCGAATATGGCACAAACATTGAGTTCAGAAATTAGAAGAATCACTGCCACGTGATTTATAGAAATTGTAATTTACTATAGTCTCGAATATGGCACAAACATTGAATTCAGAAATTAAAAGAATCACTGCCACGTGATTTATAGAAATTGTAATTTACTATAGTCTTGAATATGGCACAAACATTGAATTCAGAAATTAAAAGAATCACTGCCACGTGATTATAGAAACTGTAATTTACTATAGTCTCGAATATGGCACAAGCATTGAGTTCAGAAATTAGAAGAATCACTGCCACGTGAATTATAGAAATTGTAATTTACTATAGTCTCGAATATGGCACAAACATTGAATTCAGAAATTAAAAGTATCACTGCCACGTGATTATAGAAATTGTAATTTACTATAGTCTCGAATATGGCACAAGCATTGAGTTCAGAAATTAGAAGAATCACTGCCACGTGAATTATAGAAATTGTAATTTACTATAGTCTCGAATATGGCACAAACATTGAATTCAGAAATTAAAAGAATCACTGCCACGTGATTTATAAAAATTGTAATTTATTAGAGAAATTGGAAAAAACTTCAAATTTCGAATACGATGCAGACATTAAATTCCGAAATTAGAAGAAATTAGAAGAATTACTGTCGCGTAATTTATAAAAATTTATAATTATATAAATAATATATATAGTTATACATATAATATATTAGAGAAATTTATTAGAGAAACTTCAAGTCTGGAATACGACGCAAACGTCAAGTTTAGAAGTGAAATTCTCTGAATTCGTAAAAATTCGTGAAATTCGTAAGTGAAATTCTTCAGAAATCGTAATTTGCGACCACCGTCGGGGAAGAATTATTCCGTCAAATTGGTAGTAACGTGCATTTCCCGGCGATGGAGATATTGAAAGATGGAAATTTTGAAAAAAATATACGGGGACACAGTCGCTCAGAACTTGTCCGTCTCCGCGCAGCCCTAAAAATGCTATCTCGTCGGGCAACAAATAAGAAGTGACTACAAATTGCTTCCCGAGAAACTTTTTCAGTATCTTCAACAATAGTTTGCGAGGCAGGGAGAAGAAACTTCGTATGGATTCGTCTTTGGGATCCAACTTGCCGTAACGGAAGAGGAGAAAAGAGAGAGAAAAAAAAAAAGAATAACTTGCATTGCCTTTAATTTCATTCGTTTCGCAAATACGAAAAGTTCCGTCGAGATTAACGATGGAAAACTCAGCGAACGACAATGAAAGAAGAGTAAAGTCGTCGTTTTAATCTAAATTCTGTTGTGCCGTTTCCTGATTTTTTACGTTGCTTGAAACGTTTAGCGTCTAGAATCGAGTACGAAAGATACGTTCTCATTCGAAATTAAACGATAATAAATCGAATTATCTTTAACTGAGGGAAGCAAGGAGAAAAAATGAATGTAAATATACGCAGATTTCAATTATATTAGACTCCTGTTTCTATTGTTTCGAAAATGGTGATAAACAAGGGCCGTGGAAGGAAAAATTGGACGCGGTTTTAAACAGATACCAAGGCCGAACATCAACTTGCTTCTTAGCAACAGACGAGAAGGGACAAAAGCGTAATTAAAACGGGTTGCCTATTATTTTCTCGATGCAGCCAATATTCATTTTTTCTTTAATTTATCACAGTCACGTAACCGCTCGACACATCTTTCATCGACTCTCGCTGCAGCGTCACAACGTGAAAAAAAAAGCAAATAATATGTATAGCCCGTAGATCTTTCAATGGCAGCAATGTTTTTCATCAAACGCTTTTCACCGTGTGCGTTTCACGAGAATTAAAAAAGAAACGAAAGATTTCAAAATTCAATTAACTCCACTAACGTTTCGCGGGGGATTCCGATTTAAAGCATAGGATAAATTGGTAATTCTACGGTGTGTGTCTTTTACTTATTATGAGGATAACATGTTCGTCTGAATTGTTGCCGACAATTTCTGGAAAATTTTTAACAAATCTCTGCGGCTTCTAAAATTGTTGTATTTTGACGCTGAAATTGAAGACAATTTCTGTTTCAAATATCCCACTATTTTTTCCAAACTTTTATAAGCGTTTAACTAGTATCTACAAACATTCGTTTGAATTGTTTTTGATAATTTTTAGAAATATTAATAAATCTCTATAGTTTTTAAAATTGTTGTATTTTGACGCTGAAATTGACGACAATTTCTGTTTGAAATATCCCACTATTTTTTTCCAAACTTTTATAAGCGTTTAACTAGTATCTACAAACATTTGTTTGAATTGTTTTTGATAATTTTTAGAAATTTTAATACACCTCTATAGTTCTTAAAATTGTTGTATTTTGGCGCTGAAAGTGAAAACAATTTCTACTTTAAATATCTCACTATTTTCTCCAAACTTTTATAAGCATTTAACTAGTATCTACAAACATTCGTTTGAATTGTTTTTGATAATTTTTAGAAATTTTAATAAACCTCTATAGTTTTTAAAATTGTTGTATTTTGACGCTGAAATTGACGACAATTTCTGTTTCAAATATCCCACTATTTTTTCCAAACTTTTATAAGCGTTTAACTAGTATCTACAAACATTCGTTTGAATTGTTTTTGATAATTTTTAGAAATTTTAATAAACCTCTATAGTTCCTAAAATTGTTGTATTTTGCTGAAATTGAAGACAATTTCTGTTTCAAATATCCCACTATTTTCTCCAAACTTTTAATAACGTTTAATTAATATCTAAATAGAAACATTCGTCCTGAATTATCCCCGATAACATTCAGAAATTTTAATAAATCGGCTCCTAAAAAATACAAATTGAAAACAATTTCCATTTTAAATATTTCACTGTTATCTCCGAACTTTAATTAGCGACAATGACGGGTTCACAAGTAAAAAAGAAAAACGCGAGAGACCAGCTTCGTTTGAAGCGGCGGGGAAACCGCCGTTGCTGTTTACGTTCTCCTAGGAAACTTCCCGAGCGAGCAAGTCTCATCGTTATCTCGTTGTCAAAGCCCTGACATGAATTCCGGTCGGCGGTTTCAAAGATTCTTCATAAAACTTTGACACGTCTCGCAGTGAGAAGAAGTTGCCACTGAAGAAGAGTGATCGCTCGAAGAAACGGTGGAGGCAGGCGATACTTTGCGTGGAAAAACAATCTCGTAGAGAACTGTATAAACAACAGTGAAAGTTCCAACGTTTCTCTTTTTCTTCTCTCTCGTACTGCACGTTAATCTATTATTTCTCCGGATCATCGAGAAAGTTTCGTCGAGTTAGAAATCAGCGAGCAAAGTACCACTCTTCTTCTTTTCGCTTTTGAAGTTTACTTCTCTTCGAATTTATTTAAGTTTCAGAAAATTACGCGGAAATTTCAGAGCAAGGGAAGCTTTGCTCCTTTTTACTTAGCCTTTCTTTTTTTTTTTTTTTATCGGAAGTAAATAACTTTTTTCAAATCCTCGACTGATATTTCATCAATGCCAAGGTTTTAACTTGCAACTCATTTCTACGAATGCAACAGTTTGATAGATTCCACGAATGTTTCGCAAATCACGACGACATAAAACACGCGATAGATATAAAAAAAAAAAGGGAAAAAAAACTGCAACCCGCTGGAAATCATACAGCCGAGATACAGAAGCGACGCATCGATAATAGAAAAGCAAAACGACGAGCGATGTTATAGAAATTTTAGGGGAAACCAGGCCTTTGCGAGCCCGAGTGTTTTCGATCTGTAGCCGCCGGCGGTTTCACAACAAGTCTTTGAAAGTTTCTTCCTTTGTTCCTGGCTGCATCCTTGCGAAACGCGCGAGCCAACATTGCCGATAAATGTATGCAGAATTTTCTTCCATCGCGCCGGCCAGTTGTTGAATTAATCTTCAGAATGTTCTTCTCCTCCTCCTCCTCTGTTTTCATCGTGTCTCGGTTTTTCGTCACAAATATTGTTCTCTCCTTTGGAAAATATTTACGCTCCCGCAATTGTTGAACTTTCGAGTTGAATGATATTCAAACAATTGGAATAATTGAATCTCAGTCGATCCATCGTTGAACTATGAATTAAATAATATTTGAATAATTGAATTCCTTGAATAATTGTTAATCAGTTGTTAAACTTTAAATTGAATGATACATTCAAATAATTGGAACAATTGAATTCCAATCGATCAATTGTAACAAAATTTCCCTGTCTCTGTCCGCGAGAATTTTTTCAACGACGATTAAGACATTTCTATGGAAATGCCTGCAACGCGGTTAAAAATAAAAGACGCCGCAAGCTTCTAAACAAAAAACCACGGATACGCTCGATTTCCCTGTAAATTCGCGAGAAACGAGATTGAAGCAAATCATTTAACGAGTCGTTGGCGCGTAAGATTTTAATTGAAACGGGCAACAATATCGCGAGGGGCACCTGCATCTTTAACCGATCCTCAAGTCAACGTGTTTCGAAAGTATTGTTCAAAAAATCTTTTGTTTGCGCGATAATCAAACGAAACAAAGAAGAAGCCTTTCTCTTTCATCTGTGTTTCTTAATGAACGAAACGCACAAAGAAACGAATGAGAAACGTCACGAAAAGTGTGAAAAGAGGGTTGGAATTGAGAAACGAATGTTTCACGATTCTTTGCTCGATAACAATCCGGACAACTCGGCCGGTGGATTTTCTTCAATTTTCGATTGTTGCAAAATTTCACCCGTGTTTGGCATTATTAGTGGAAATATTCAAAAGCACAGCTTTCGATTTTTGAACGAATCGAGTGAATTTTGCAGTTTAGGTAGTTTCAAGTTTGAAGGAAATTGTCAGTCTCGACAGCTCAATGTTCTACGATATTTTTGGAAAAATTAAATATATCGTGCTTCCATTATTAACTCTTGACTCAAACAAAACTAAACTCTCAATTGTCAAGGAAATTGTCAGGCTCGACAGCTCAATATTCTACGATATTTTTGGAAAAATCGAATATATCATGCTTCCACTTATTAATTTTTGACTCGAACAAAACTAAACTCTCACAAAAGAGTTTGCAAATTCTTTTTTTTCTCTTTTCTTTTTTTTTTTTTTTTTTTTTCTTACCTTTGTTTTTTTCTTTTTTTTTTTTTTTTTTTTTGTTAATTTTAAAAGGGAGTACAACACCACAGAGATTTAACTCTGCTTACTTAGGTTTCGAACGATAAGCTGTTTAGAATTCAATTTCCTTGGAGGAGGATGTCACGGAGGTATCGCAGTGTCAGTTTACCACGAGATAGTTTGCATTTGTGATAGATATGCATTACATTGCGACGCCGTTCCCTGGTAATACAGAAATAGGATTGTAATTAGAATCCTCTATTTCCAGGAGTAATCAGTATCCCCGTTTGAAATCACATATCTTGCACGAGAAGAGGATATTACAGATTCTTCGAATTAGATTCTTTTTCTCCTTTCTACCGATTACTTGCCAAGAAAAATGAAGAAAAAATTATTCACAATCGGACGCATTGTCTTTTTTCCACTCATAATTTGCAATTCATTTTTCTTTCTAAATATTTAAAAATTACTGTCTTGATATACCGACTGGAGTTGTCTACCGAAATTAGCGTGCCTTCGAAAGAACATAAAATGGATAGAGTTAAATTGGAGACACGAAAATCTGAATTCATAAATCGTTCAGAACATTTCGAGGGGCGTATAATTAAATTTTCATTCGAACGCTGGAAAGAATAAATATGCCCGTACATTTATAATTGGACATCATTAAAAAAAATTTTCAATTCAAAGAGAATATATTTATCAAGAGAACGTAAAAAAATCTTTGCAAAGGTAAAGTCTAGAAATAAGTCAAAACATTCCCACCGAGCAGCAAAATTGTAAATTAAATTCATGTTTCATCTGTATTCGCGAAATTTCGTATTCCAACGAAACAATAACATCATACTGAACGTCTGTGTCTCGTTCGTGAGTATCACCATCTTAACGATACAGAACAGATTGGAACAAGTCAATCCGACTTTGACGCGAGTTATAAATTTCCAAGTTTAATGCTTCGGCGAAAGGCGGTGCAACAGTGATCCTCCCCGTTGAATATCGTTACGATTATTCATGCATTTCTGCGGAATCCGTGGCCTAGGAAACGGGAATTCTCTCTGGTGAATCGATATGCATTGTGTATAATCGGACGAAGCATGATTTCGATACGGAATACCGATAGTTTCAATGCGGCACGAATACAAAAACAGGGAACAAGATGTGCAAACACTGTCACGAACGCGATCTCGAAATGTTTCTCAATTGCAGCGAGCTCCTCCGAGGAAGGAGAGGCAAGGAGAGATCGATGTGTTCCCGATGTTGATTCACGAGACCGCAAACACCAACGTGACAGTCCAAAAGTAAATTTAATCTGCGAACATTAGGATATCCTCATGTACGATCGATATTTACGATCATTGCGATACTTGGAGAGATCACTTTTAGAAAAATTCTACGTTTTTTAATAATATTATTCATTTATTATATTATTTTCTAATAACATCCTTAATTGTAATTTTTTTAATAATATTATTAATTTAAAAATTCTACCTTTTTAAACAAGTAATTATTACACAAATATTTTTTACCCGCGTGTCGTATGAATCGCGAATGTTTAGCTCCAATAAATTACGGAAAATAAATAGAGAAACGGTGATACTGAAAATTTTTTTTTTTTAATTTTTCTTAGAGTTCACCGCTATTTTCACCGAATCTTCTTTCACCGAAATTGGCGAAAAATGAAGTTGATCAATTTGGTTTCTCAGAGACTCTTTGGCGCAGTTATGGATAATTTTTTAAAGATTCTGAAAATTGTTTCGAATCACCAAAAATCCCTCGAGGGATATTTATTTTCGAAATTTCAGCTAAACCAGAGGATGAATGTACTCGAAAGGAAAATATATCAGGCGGCTTCCCTCTCTGTTTCGCGATTTTATTTGCGCGTGAAAAGCATTTTTCCAAGCCTAGAATCTGACGTAGATAACAGAGATGTTATCGGTGAAAATCGCGTCGATACAGAGCTTTCGAAAGGATTCCTACGGTACCACGAAAGCTCGAGTATCTCCGGTCGGTAAAGTGGTAGCACTCTGCCAGCTTGATAACTTCATTTCCACCTTGTGCTTTTTTGTTTCACGTGCTACGTTATCGATTCAGTATAGAAACGCAAGGATACGACATTGACAGTAGTTGGAATTATTGTCAAGCTAAATTTTCTGTCACGAAAACGACTGAAATTTCTTCTACTGGATGGACACGAAAGCTTGAAGTCGAAGAGAATACAAAAATTCCTCTAATTTCCATGATGTAAAAATCTAACCGCGGACGCAGCTGTATAATTAATAATTGCATCACACAACGATATAATTGGATAATTGATAATTGGGTCACGCTCTTTCCAATAACACTCATTCTCAAAGAAATTCTTCGACTATCTATCGACTATTTAAAAACAATTTTTCGACTAAAAATTCTACGCCCTCCACGTCTTCCATTTGAGAACACTATAATCAGCAAATATTATTACGTTACTCCGTGTTTCCCCGCATATTTTATCTTTCGCTCGTGCTGTTTGCAACGAGCAACGTCAACAACGAAAATAACAATATCGTTTATTCCCGGAACGTGCAACATAGCCGAGCGATGCCATTTCTTACAGCTCGCGCTCAATTCGATTCGGGACGGGTTTAACACCGCGACGGAGTGACGCTTGCAATTCTTTTACATTGAAAACGATTACACTCGCAATCTCGTTTGGTATTCGAGGCTGTAACGAGATTTTATTAATACTTTTACGGGCAGCAGTTAAAACATGTGCACGCGGATAGACGTGGCCCGTAGCCGATGGAAAACGTTGCTATTCCAGCCTCGTTTCACCATCCCTGTCTTTCCCTCTGTTAATGCAAAACACGCGTATAAATCGCGAACGTACATCGTACTTCGCGGTATAAATATTTAGAAAATGTTTTTGCACGGCTGGTGGAGAATGCGAGTTGGAAATGAATTGCCAAGTTGCAGAAATGAGAAGAAGAGAGGAGGGAGAAAGAAGAATGCTTTGTGAAAAATGGCCGTTCCCTTGGTGAGAAAAGAACGAAGAGGAACTGAGGAAACACACTGCCCTTTCCTTTCATCTCAGACAACTTTAGATGAAGCCAGATTAACCGTTAGATGACAGAACACTTATTATACAATCAATCATTTCTAAATTATGGACCTAAATTTCCCAGAATTTTCTACTTCTGAAAACGTTGAATTACGTGAATGAATCTTTCACTGAAAAACTTCGGCTATTCCCGATCCATTTTCAAACGTTGAAAAATATCCCAAGCTCGAGCAAAATATTCAAAAACTCTTACTTCTCGCACAATTTACTACGTCAGATATCTTTTTAAAAAAACATTGCAAATTTCTTCGTTTCTAGCATGTAAGAGAAATGCTGTATCGAAGTTTCGAACGTTCGTAAAAAAATCAAAACGACGACTGGAACGACGATCTGAACGACAATCTAACGAAGCTAATAAAATTTTCACTGTGGCAAGATTCTGGCTGAGCTGATAACGAGATACGGGGTAGAATTACAAAGGACCCGCGCAATGACAATTTTCATCGCCAACATTCTCGTCTCATTCGCGAACGAAACTAAAGCTAAAAATGTTTCGGAGCTCGGTAACACTTTCCCGAATACGGAATATTATGTCGGGAGCACGTTCAAAAGAGAGACAACGCCTTGCGTTTTCCAATTACGCGTCGAATTGCAGCGTAGCAACAACCGTTCTGCTGTGGTAACGCAATTATGCCAGTACTTCTCGAGGCGCACGCAGTTAATTAGCATTAACTGGATGGAATTGGCACTGGGTAATATCGATGCTCCCAACATTCCACCTACGTTAATTACCTGTAATGTCTCGGAAGACAGAGGCACGCTCAAAAAGGCGTTTCGCTGTTTGCCCAATGAATATCACGTGCTTTGGTGTAACGAGCAATTTGCATTTCCATCGCGAATGTTAATATTTGGAACACTATGCCAGCCGTTGGTTATCGTCTGGAAGAATATTCCCTTGTTAGGGAAATATTCTACAAATAAAATTAAAAGATACAATCTTCGATCCAAAAGGAAAAGAGACAAATACAAAATCACACTTGAAATTTAAAACGCAAGATCAACCAACAATTTTACGGTTAATATCGATATTCTTATCGAAATTCGAACTTGTTCTGTCGTGAGAAGGCATGCTTGTTTATGAAGTATTTTGTTAAAATTTTTTCATTTGCAAAATTAAAATTAAAATTAATAATATTTAAAATTAATTTCATTTGCGCAATAATTATTGAACATGAACAATTACTTTTACGTAATCGTTTCGTGTAAATGGAGAACATTAGCAATCAACGGTCTGAGATAATTATCGACTGAAATAATTTCAAGACTGACTAATTAATCATTGAATGAGTGAGATAATTTCAATACCAACTAGTTAATCACTGAAATAATTTTGATTGGCTAAATAATTTAAGATTGACTGATCATAATCGTCACAGTGAATCACTAATTAATCTGAATTATTATTCACTTTAAATCACTGATCATCAGTCATTGATTAATCAGAATTGTTTAGATTTAATATCACTGATCAGATTTATTGGTCGTTATACATTTTGTCACCGACTAATCATATCAGTGTTTATATATTGTATTAATCAGAGTTACTAGTCATATTAACTGATGATTAATCACCAATCGCTAATCATAACTAATTAGTCAGGCTTGTTAGTCATTACATGTTTCAAGTAATTAATCATCAATCGTTAGTCATATTAAATGATCAATAATTAGTCATCGGTCACTGATCAATCAGAGTTATCAGTCATCATACATTTTACGTGCCAATCAATCGTTTCATACATTACACTGTTCTCCGCAGCAATTTCTCCATTTAAACGACGAAAAGGTGAACTGAAAGAAATGCGTTTCACTTTTTCGTGCAACTGCAACGCACGAAACTTCTTATTTGTACAAATAACGAAGATTGCCCATCCTCCAAACGTTAATTTATCGACGATCCCCTCAATTAGTCGTCCAAATTGAAAACATCAACTTTCTGTCGACAAAGGAATCACACGAATAAACGAGAACGCGAGTTTACCTCCGGGTAAGAATCGAATCGTTCTCGAGGAACGTAAACACTCGATTATCAATACACTTTTCAGCTACGCGGCTGCATCAAGCGAATGTAAACCAGGGAATGATGTTACACGGAAATTCATTTCCACGGGGAAACGAATTCCTTGGGCTGAGGTTGCATGCGCGCGCGCGCTCGTCGAGATGAAACGCCAATGTTAACGAAAGTACGCGGTAATTTGTCACGAATATTTCCAAAATGGAGAGTGTAATGGGAGAATCGAAAGAGAGCGATCGTGGTTTTCTTTTCGCGTGATGCATCGCCGCGAAAGAACAGTGATCGCGAGTCTTTCTTTAAAGTTTCAACATTCGTTCGAGCGACGAATTTTTCTTCTTAGAGTTTCCACGGCTTCGTGACACTTGTTCCTTTTTGCGTTGAGCTTTTACTTTTAATTTATATTTCTGGAATCACTGGTTGATAACTTGCGCCAAAATATATTTCACATAGGAACACGTGGTACGGTAGAGAAAGGAAATAAAATGAATAATACAACTTACAACTGTAGAACGAACAGCACACGTGATAATCTAACTTTTACTCTTTTCACTTTTCAGTTTTTATATTAAACGATTTTACTTTTACGGACAACGAGCCGTGGTTTACTACTGACTCTCTAATCTTCTACTGTTCTATACTAATCTGCTATACTGTTCTGTTCTGTTCTGCTATACAATTCTTCTGGGCTGTTACACAGTTCTGCTCCGACAGACTACGGCTGTGATTTATAGACGTCTTCTATAGACTCTTTTTCTCTCTTTCTATTCTCTTTCTAATTATCGACTTTTATTTCTAACACTTTGAAAACGAGAAAGGAATTACAACGTCCTGTCAGGTCGGCGGACGCGAGTACAAAGTGTCGAATCTCTCCTTTTTTCCGCTCCTTCGCGCAAAAGCGCGCGCATCAGTAACATTTCGTCGTTAATGAGTTACAAGTGGCTACTTTCTTGAAATAACCTCCGTTGCGCAATTATTTTAGGAATTTACCCTGCCGTATCGCGCAAAAACGAGACAGTCGTTTCTCGTTTTTGCTGGAAAAAAAAATTCTGAATTCAGATTAAACGAAGTTTCAGCTGTCAAGGGAGACACGCTTTGGACAGGCGACTGAAGCTTCGATATAAATGCGAGACAAATTGTACATTTGGCGTTCCCTAATCGATCGAACTAGAAAGAAAAAAGAAATTTCATTCA